CCAAAGCCCCCCATCTTTGCAGATCTGCTCCTTTAATCGTTCCTATTTTTCCGTCCCCCCTCCAGGAGCAAACCGAACACTTTTTGTGCGTGTTCCTCCACCCAATCGCCAAAATAAGGGATTTCTAGGCCAAAAAGCAAGGCCTAAACCCSGAAACCTGTGAACTCCTGTTGCTCMAGAGGAGATAAATCAACATAAATTAAATTTATCCAATTTAAGTTGTATAAATCCAACTCACCTTTGGCTGGAGCACAAAGAGGAGAGCGTGGAGCTGGTGCTGAGTGAAGGATGGACAGTGGATGCCGGACTTTTATATTTCCCCACGGGTTGTCCCAGATTTGGGCACCTCTTGGCAAKGTTGACACAAACCCTCACACTCAATATTTATCTTTCGTGTCTCATTTTTCACATTTCTGACCTGACGCAGTCAGGGGAAAAAACCAACGATTAATTTTTCCTTGGCTCTTTAATAAGCAACGAATTTCCCAACCTGCTTAGAAGGGAATTTCGGAGGCAGTTGCATATTTCCATGGCAAAAAAAATGAACCTGTCCCCGGAGTTATTAAGTGATTTGGGCATTGGGCAACAGCAATTGCATCAACTCCGGTTCCGGAGCGTTGACTCCTTCACCGCGTGCTGCCCCTGGTTCTCGGTGCCACAGTCACATTTTGATTGAGAGGTTTTCTTCCCCTGACACAAGGGACTGTAATTAAGGGTCACAATTCCCAGGGACTTCATTAGAGGGAAGTCCTGGTGATTACCTCGGCCCTGACGCCTCGGCTCCAGAGGTGATGCCAAAAGGATGTCCCCAATCCCAATTTTTTCCATTCTGTTTGCGAACTGTCAGTTGGTTTGTTGTTTTTTTTTTTTGTTTGTGCCACAATATTTTCATGTTCACGTTCCTCCTGGACAGAGGGGGTTTCAAATCCTCTGCAGGAAGGGTTTGTGGGGGGATTTTACCTCTTGGCAATCCCAAATTTCTGTGGAGTCCCATCTCGTTTAAGCAGTTTTGTGATTTTTATTCATTCCAGTAATTCGCTCTTTGTTTCCAAGTTTTTTCTCAGAGCAGCCCAAGATTTTGGAAAAATAAAAAGGGTGATTGTCCCTTTCCTGTGACTTTTATCCAGCTAAACGCCACAGGAACAACTCATGGCTCAGGAAATGAGATGATCTTTCAGCTCTCTCCCAACTCAAACCATTTTACTCAGAAACCCAAGAGATTTAAGAAAGTCTTCCAGACCCAATYCTTGCTTAGGAAAATCTGAAATCTTCTGGAAGCTGCTGTGAGCCATGAATGGCATAGAAATTTTTCATCTGGGTGAGTAAAACTCYTTTTTAGGGGATACCCTTGTGCCAATCCTCCATCAGCCGGGAGGAGTTTGTGGAATCAGGGAATCAGAGGATGATTTGGGCAGGAAGGGACATTAAAGATSCTCTCACCCAACCCTCAGAGTTATTAATTTAAGCTGAGTGTGGCTGCTGAGCTCTCGGAGAAGCTGATGCAGCCACAGAGCCTGTTCTGGAACCGGTGYCTCAGCTGGGCTGGGAGATAAGAAAAGTCTGAGGCTGTCAAAAGTCCCGAGAGGTTTCACACTTATTTTTAAGTGCCAGCGATTGCTGCTGAGAACAGTAATTTGGAGCTCAGGGAAGGAAGGAGGGTTAGAAAAACCCACGAGGTGCTTATTTGCATTTATTAGACACCACACAGTGTTTGTGCCTCTGAGTCAGAGGGACAAATGGAGTGTGAGGAGCTGCTGAGGAGGGACCGAGTGGGGCCGCTCTGCTCCAAAAGGAATCCTGGAATGGGYTGGGTTGKGTTGGAGGGACCTCAGAGTCCATCCAGTGTCACCCCTGCTGTGGAYRGGGACACCTTTCACTGCCCCAGRGTGCTCTGAGCCTCGTCCAGCCTGGCCTTGGACACTYCCAGGGAGGAATTCCTTCTAGCTATAAATGTATAAAGATATATTCTGTATATCAATATATAAATAAATGGGGTGTAGATGAGCCCCCTGAATGCCTCTGGAATTACTGGCTTTYATTATTTTGAAATTTTAGGAGCATTTTGTGATTTTAGGGGCAGTTTGAGAAGAAAAGAGTGCAAAGTGGGGACTGGGAGGTAATGACAATTCTGAAGTGAAAAGGTCAAAGAATAAACAGACCATAAWCATTTTTCTTGCTTTTAGAAATCAAATTTTATTGTTTTGGAGGCTGTCACACGGTGTGGGAACCAGCAGGAACCATTCCCAGCTTTATGTAAATCAACCTGACCTGGGTCTTGCCTGCCGAGCAAATTAAACCAAATTGGAGCGAAAACAGCAACCGAATTCTAATCACAGACGAGAAATTCGAGGATCAAATCAAAAACGGGAACGAAGAACCGTCAATTCAAGCCTTAGGCACGGAGAGCATCCAAAGCAGGGACGATCTGGCGCATCCCAATGCCGGGGTCAGATCCTGATTTCAGTATTTGGGGTACTGCGGCAGCTTGCAGATGTTCTTGGTGAGCTGGGGGCAGACCGGAGGGCAGTAACGCTGCATCGGGGGGTAGCAGGGCTGAACTGGGGGACAATAACGCTGAACTGGGGTGTAGCAGGGCTGCATCGGGGGACAGCAGGGCGTCACGTAGCTGAATTTCTGCACCGGCTGCCTCTGGATGGTGTAGTGGCACGAGGCACCCGAGTCGTGGCACGAGGAGCGGGACTCGTGGCACGAGGTCTCGTGGCTGTGGCAGGAACCGCGGGAGCACATTTTCCTGGAGTTCTGGAGGAGCTGCGGGGAGAGAGGAGTGGTTAGGGTGGGTACGAGTTTATGGACATTCGCTCTGGGATTTCCCATTTTCTTCCTGATTTCCAGATTTTTGGAGGTGAGAAGGGTCAGTGCAGGTTGGGAGATGCTTTAACCCCTCACTAAACCCAGGATCTTTTATGGATTGATTTCCCAAGAAAAACTGGTCCAAACGACCGATCCCCAAATCCAAAAATCTTCGATCCCCAAATCCTGAAATCCCTGATCCTGAAATCCCCAAATCCCAAAATCCCCTGATCCCCAAATCCCGAAATCCCAAAATCCCAAATCCCCCAATCCCCAAATCCCAAAATCCCGTAATCCCCGATCCTGAAATCCTCTGATCCCAAATCTTGATCATTTCCCAGGAGCAGCTCCAGACCCTCTGGTTCTTTCTGCTTGAAAAACTTCAAGTCCCATTTCCACRAACCTCTCTGGCTTTCTTGTCTTCCAAGTGTTTTCCACTCTTTCTGTTRTTTTGGTTCAAATTGAGCCTCTGCTCAAGGCCTTTATTTGTAATTTATATAAAACATCTCATTTGGATTACAAAAACTTGGTCTCCAGCGCGACCAAGATCCAGAGGCGAGGTGGGCATACCCAACACTCCARCTCTACCCAAACTTGTAGAAAAACATCCAATTTCCTAAAGAAACTCCAGGGGAAGAAAAAAATCGGACTCACCTTTCCAGCAGTGAGGATGGAGCTGTTTTGGAGAAGATCAACGTGTGAAGGAAACTGGGATGAGAAACCTTTTATACTTTTCTGAAGGTTTATCTGGGACATGAGGCATCGCTAATTACAGATCCCAGCCCATTTCTGTCGGCCGCGTTCAGCTTCCCGGATTTTCCCTTTGATGCTCTGTGCTCTTAGAGTTGTAATTATTAATAGCTCGTTAATTCCTTCACCTCCCGATGAACGAGATTGGAAGGAATTTCACGGGAGGTGACGCCAGCACCGATGGATCTGTTCATGGACAACGTGGATGGGGTGGAAGAGGTGTTTGGAATCCAGAAGTGCCAATTCCTCAGGGTCACGTGGATCGGGAGTTGCACGTGATCGACCTCCACGTGAAGGAAGGATGGGTTTTGGTGTTAATCCCTGGGGATTAGGTTCAGGGCAGGAATTCTCCTGAAGAATTGCCCAATGGGGCCGGATATGTCAGCGAGAGATTTGTGTGAGCCCCAATCTGTCCTTCACCGATAATTCCAACCTGCCAGCCCGGTGTGGCCACCAAGGGTTTCTCCTCCTGGTGCCCATCAAAGCCACGGGGTCGCAGATTCTGCCACCACACCTGGTCCAGAGTGGATTCCTGTCCACGGGCCCCAGGTCCTGTGTCCTCAGATTTGCCCCAGAGTGGGCTCCTGTCCATGGGCCCCAGCTCCTCTGTCCCCAAATCTGCCCCAGAGTGGGCTCCTGTCCATGGGCCCCAGCTCCTGTGTCCCCAAATTTGCCCCAGAGAGGGCTCCTGTCCATGGCCCCAGGTCCTGTGTCCCCAAATCTGCCCCAGAGAGGTCTCCTGTCCAGGTCCTGCCACCTCTGTGGGTGCCCATCCACAAAGCCCTGCCCAAGCAAACCCAACCCGGGGCTTTAGGAGCTGTTCCAGTCTGGTTCTGCAATGTTTTCGGCATTGGTATCAAATCCTGGGACAGAATCCCAGAATCCCTGAGGCTGGAAAAGAYCTCCAAGACCAAACTTTGACCAATGTCCACCTTGCCAGAGCACTGAGTTCCACCTCCGGGAGTTCCTTGGACACCTCCAGGATGGCCCTGCTCACCCTCCCAGAGGAGTTTTGGTTATTTTCCCTTCTGATTTTACTCAAAATTCTTTCATTTCGCTGGGACAAAATGCTGCTGTTGCTGCCCTGCTTCCAGCACTTCCRGAAATGATTTCAGGGATGATGAGACAGGGATGAAGCTCAACAGAAAAATAAACACAACAATGTGATGCAGGAGACACTTGGGAACGTGGATTTTCCCGTGAATCACGGGTGAACTTTGCCCTTCCATGCTTGGGTACAAGTCATGCCCATTGGACCCATCAATTACATCTTCTGGTCCCATAAAAGGCAGGAATGTGTCAACATTGGRGTGGCATCGGGGATTAGGAGTGAGGCACGAGGGATTTGGGGTGATGCTCTGCTGACTCACTGGGATCCTTCAAACTGCTCCATTCACGTCGGGAGCGTCGGGATCCCGATGTTCAGAATGACCCCATAAATAKCTCCCTGCAAGGGAACTGCTTTAGGCTGCAGTCAGGCAGCGCCTTTAGGGATTTTTGGCCACGTGTGGGAGGAGATTTGCTGTCGTGCGAGAGAGGTCATGTATGGAAAATGAAAAAAAAAAAAAAATCTGTGTCAGGTATAAATACCAGGAAAGGAGGGCAGGAAAGAGAAATGTTTGAGGWTTGGGAAAGCAAAGCCCCCGCTCCCCAGGGGTGGCTCCCTGTGGAAGATTCCAGCTCTGTAAAATGTGTGAGGATTCCATCCAGAGCCCCGGCTGTCACTCTGCTGTGGCCCGAGGGGTTCCACTGATGATCTGGGACATTTATGGGAAATTCTCCCCGGGCTCGGTGTTTTGCACGGACTCTGCCCAGCCCCATCCGCGTTTGGTGTAAAGAGGAAGAAGCTTCCCCTGGGACATTTCTCCGCAGGGACTCAGCAGTTCCTTGGTGGGGACGATTTCCTGCCGGGTTTCTGCCACTCCTCCCGCAGCCTGTCCTGCTCTCCCGCTTGGCTCCGCAGATAAAAATCCGCGGGGATAAAAATCCCAGCTCGGCAGAAATTCCCTGTCTCAGACCCTCCCCGAGCCTCCCCTTCCGCGGGTGACACAACCCGGGGCTCAGCCGCCGGCGTGGGTGAAACCTTGGATTGCTGCGAAAGGATTCACCAAGGAGATTTTTATCTCCCCTTCCCACAAATGTTTTCAGTCAGACTCCAACCCCAGCTCGAGCCTCTCGTCTGGCTGGGTTTCCACCCTTTTTGGGTGGGTTTGGGCACAGGGACCAGCACCCTTCGATGTCCTCGTGTCCCGTCAGAGCCGCRCGTTCCCGACCCTGACATTTTCTGCTCCCGCAATCGTGGACYTCACACCTGGCAAAGAGGCTCCTCGTTATTTTAATTAAGAGTAATAACAAAACGAGCGCTAATAATAAGTTTCTCATTCTTTTCAAAGGTTCAGCACAAACCCCTGGCTAATTAAATATCTTGCGCATTACACACGGCGCTGCTCTCATCCCGCAGAGCCGCAAATTCCCTGGTGGATCCTGGGATGGAAGCCAGGGATGGCTCTGGTGCAATGGGAAATCCAGCTGCTGATTTTCAGGGACTTCTGCTCGTCTTTTTTTCCTTTTGTATCTACAAGGAGGGGTCTGAACTTCTACGATTTACGTCAGTTTGAACCTTGGGAAGAACTGGGAATGTTTTTCTCCTTCAGGAAACATACAGAAGGGTTGGAGCATGTCCAGAGATGGAAATGGAGCTGGGGAAGGGGCTGGAGCAGCAGGAGAAGGGTCTGGAAAACTCCTGAGGGAGCTGGGAGGGCTCAGCCTGGAGAAAAGGAGGTTTGGGGGGACTTTGTCTCTCTCCAGCTCCCTGACAGGACATTCAGATCAGAGGAATTTCCAAGGTCCTTCCAGGCCTTGGAAGGGGCTGCCCAGGGAGGTTTGGATTTCCCATCCCTGGAGGAACACCTGGACGTTGGTCTGAGTGACCAGATGGGGATTGGTCACTGCTCGGACTCAATGACCTCGGGGGTCTTTTCCAGCCTCAGTGATTTTGGAATTCTGGGATTTCCTCCAGGGAACACGGACTCCTGATGGGATTTTCAGGGAAGGGAGAGTTCCCTCACACAGAAGATCRATCCAACCCCAAATTCTCCCTTTAGAAGAGCCAGAGGGGACACTGAGCATGATGTGGTCCTTCCTCAACTCGTGTCCTCCTGTTCATGGAGATCAGGGATTCCCAGATATCCCACACGGAGTCTGCTCAGTGCCCTCCAGCCGTGAGCAAATCACAAACCCTTCCCAAGGCTCCCGTGAGGGTCTGAGGCTCCGAGCCAAGGGCTGGCATTGAAGAGGTGCTGATCTGCACCTTCAGCCCCAGACAGCTTTTGAAATCAGCCTGGCAGGCACCCAGGGCACAGAGGCTGCAGGGCTGAACCACCCCAGCCGCCAGAATGCCACGGGAAAAACAGGAAAAGCAGCTCCCCTTACCCAAAACGGACTTGGGAATGTGCCAAAGATAMGGAAAAGCCAAAGTGGAAAAACACCAGGACGCCAGCAGATTGGATGAGCTTCAGGTTTTAATATCACAGCTTTGCTACTGGAGACGGGAGCAGGGAACGGAGAGAGCGGAATTCCCCCGGCGCAGGGGAGAAATCCCGATTCCACCGCGCTAATGCCACTTTGGGGTTCTCAGGATAAGGGGAAGGGGCTGCAGAGGGGGAGCAGGGCCTGTCCAAGCTCGGGGACAGGGGACAGGAGCATCTCCGGGGGCTCCTCACTTCTGCTGCTGCTGCGGCGGCCACTGCACCGGCTGCTTGATCTGCTGCTGCTGCTGCTGGCACGGAACYTGGGCCACCTGGCCCTGGCCGGTGGCCACCGGGCATTGAGGGGTCAACACCACCACGGGGGTCACCTCGGGCACGGCGGTCACCTCGTGGCACACCACCCCCTCGGAACCGTGGCACGAGTGCTCCCTGTCGTGGCAGGAGGAGCTGCCGCCGTGGCAGGAGGAGCTCTCGGAGCTGTGGCAGCCTCTGTTCTCCCGGGAGCACATTTTTGGGTTGGTTTTGGAGTGAAGGTGGAAAACCTGGGGAGAAGAGGAGTTTGGGGTTAGATGTAGGGAGGGCATCGTGGTTTCCCTGATCTGCTTTGGGCAGATTGCCTTGCTGTGCTTTTGAGCTGGGAATTCCCTTTTTGCCCGTTCAGTTTGAGGTTTCATTCCCATAGTCCTGGATTAGCTGGGGCGATCTTGGCACCCTCAGAGCCCCCACAGCAGCCCTGGACTCTGTTTCTGCTGGGCTCCGTGAGCTGCTTCCTTGTTATTCCTTGAGCTGTTTCCCTGCTATTTCTTGAGCCATTTTCCCCCTGTTCCTTGAAACATTCCCTGTTCTCCTTTKAGCCATTTCCCCCCTATTCCTGAACCATTTCCCCCCAATTCCTTGAGCCATTTCCCATGCTATTCCTGAGCCATTTTCCCTCTATTTCCTGAGCCATTTCCCTGCTATTCCTGAGCCATTCCCCCCTATTCCTGAGCCATTTTCCCCCTATTTCCTGAGCCATTTCCCTGTTCTCCTTTGAGCCATTTCCCTGTTTCCCTTGAGCTGTTTCTCCACTATTGAGCCATTCCCTATTCTCCCTTGAGCCATTTCCCCCCTATTTCCTGAGCCATTTCCCCTCTAATCCTTGAGCCATCCCCTGCTATTCCTGAGCCATTTCCCCCCAGTTCCTTGAGCCATTTCCCCCTATTCCTTGAGCCATCCCCTGCTATTCCTCGAGCCCTTCTCTGCTCTCCTTTGCAGCATCCTGGGATGTCCCAGGGCTGCTCCCAGAGCAGCAAATACTCCGTGGATGCTGAGATAATCCACACCAGCACGAGGCATCTTGGAGAGGATCCCAAAATCTCACGGCGTGGAGTGRCGCCCTGGCAGAGCCCCAAAAAACCCAATCCCAAAGGCAGGCACCCGAAATAAAACCACTCCCGTGCCTTCCTCCCTCCCTGTGCCCTCTGCTCCCTCCAGGCTCAATTCCCTGAGCGTGAGGAAAATCCTCTGTGCACATCCCAACCCTCTTCTGAGGACTGCTGGGATTTCAGGGAGGCAAAAGGCATCGGGGACGCTGAGCTGCGAGAGGATCCTGCCACGCCTTCCTCTCAAAGTTTAAATCCGYCTTCTCTGCTCTTTCCTAAATTTCTTCAAGGAGTTTTTAATACTTTCAGCTCTCCCGAAAGTGTTTYCCAAAGGAGCTTAGTGAAGGAGTCAGGCTTATAAATGCAATTAAAATCCCCACCTTAGCCCTGAGGTTTCTCAGGAAAGATCAACCTGCTGCCTCTCATTCATCCCCCAAATCCCATTATTTGCTTTTATTCATTTCCAGTTTGTCCTCTGGATACTGGAAAGCACCGGAACAATCAAAATACAACTACAGGTAATAAATTTTTCTCGGCGCAGGCAACCCTAATTTTTGGGAGCGCAAAACAAGCCCCAAGCTCCGAGCCAAGTATTCGGCTCTGGATAACCCAAGGAAATGCCCCCGGAGTAAAGCTCAGCTCAGCGCAGGGAATTTTTTGTTGGAATGAAAGGCTAGCGGTCAAGCAGGGACTCACCTGGGCTGTGAAGGCTCTGGAGGAGAAGCGGAGCCGAGYGAATGAGCTGCTTCTCCCCTCCGAGGGCTTTTATACGGTTCCCGAGTCCCTTCCTGAAAATGCAATAACCCCCCCGGGGCAAAAATGACCAAGGTATTTACACAACAGCCGCGCCCCTAATTACCCACCACCTTCCAAAGCTCCTGCAACCCGATTTCTGGGATTGACTTGTCAGGCCCTGGATTGTCTTCCTCGTGTTACACACGGCTTTTAATTGCAGCTCGGCCGCCAGTGAAAACCGTGTGGGCGGCTCGGCTGTCTCACCCTCACGGCACGATGAGCTGGAAGTTGCAAAACGGACGGCAAAGGTGGTGAGTTTTGGGGTTCCTGKCCTCCCAAAACCTCTCACCCAGAGTCTGGAATGAGGGAGAGGTCCCAGAGTCCAGTGGTCCCTGGCTGGTCTTGGCAAGACTGGGTTTTTGTGGAGAAAACCCACCGCACTCAGGTCCTCGCCATAAAAAATGGTGAATTCTTAGAAAGTTCTGGTTGGACGGCCTTGGAAAAGATCTTTGAGGTTGTTTTCACCCCTGTGAGACACCTGAAGGTACCAGAATTGAGCTGAGGGACCCTTCTCTCTGCTGGGGTCATTTCCCAAAGGAAAAAAACCAGGATAATGAGGTCTGTGGCCACTGTGGGAGGCTTTGGCAGGTAAATGACCTGGCAAATGCAGCTGGTGGCACAGGCCACTTGTGAAAATCTTTGTTCTGCCTGTGAATTCCCCAAAAATGCAATGAGGTGTCCTCAACATGAGGGAGAACGTCCTCCCGTGGAGAGGGCAGAGCCCTGGAACTGCACAGGGAAGCCTGGAGTGGCCCCTCTGGGGTCACTCTAAACCCACCTGGACCTGTCCCTTTGTCACCTGCTGCAGGTCACCCTGCTCCCCAGCTGTTCCAGGGTTCTGTGATTGTGACATTCTGTGATTGTGACATTCTGTGATTCCATGGTTTTGTGATTCTGTGATTCTATGATTTCATGATTCTGTGATTCCATGATTCTGTGATTCTGTGATTCTATGATTTCATGATTCTATGATTCTGTGATTCTATGATTTCATGATTCTGTGATTCCATGATTCTGTGATTCCGTGATTCCGTGATTCCATGATTCCTTGATTCCATGATTTTATGATTCCCCACCTGTGCCCATCCACTTCCCACCCAATTTCACGGCCATTCCACCATCACTGACACAATCACCACCAGTTTTCATTGCTGACATTTTTCCTGGCCAGCCCCAAGATGCCCCAGAATCTCTCCTTGAAAATGTCCATTTTTCTCATATTTTTACTTTTTTTTATTTTCTCACTGGAGCGACAATGGGAAACCGGTACCTACGGAAGTTGCTTGTGCAAACCTTGCAGCCGTGAGTAAGCTGTGAGTAAAATGCTGGGTCAGAGACCACGATCTGAGTTCCCCACTCATCTTCAGCTCTTCCTTGGGGCGGGCTGGGAGCACCTGAGTGCAGAGCCCCGGGATGGTGCAATCGTGGATGCAACCACGGCTACGCAACAGCCCCGATTTCTCATTTTCCTTCTCCTTTTCCCTCCCATTTCCGGCCTGATTGTGGAATTCCAGCCGGGTGCGTTTTTCCTCCTTTTCCACCTGAGCTCTCCCTCATGGAGCCATGAGGTTTTTTAGGGCAGAGATCACCCAGAGCCCARGGGTGGCTCCCGGCCGCTATCACTGAAACAAAGGATGGAGTTTCTATCCAGAGGCGCCAGCTGGAGACTTTCATCCAGAAACCAGATCCGTGTTTGCTGCTCAGCCTGTTCAACGGCTGCAGGAGAGGGGCCTTGGCTTAACAAGCACTGACAGGCCCAGGATGAGCCCTGGTTATCAGAATTTGGGATTAATCCTGGTTGTCAGAGTCAGGATGAGCCCTGGTTATCAGACTTTGGGATGAATCCTGGTTATCAAAATTCAGGATAATCCCCGGTTATCAGAGTGGGGRTGAGTCCTGGTTATCAAATTTTGGGATGATTTCTGGTCACAGAGTTGGGGATGAGCCCTGGTTTTCAGAGTTTGGAATGAGCCCTGGTTATCAAATTTTGGGATGAATCCTGGTTATCAGAGTGGGGATGAGCCCTGATTGTCAGACTTCGGGATGAATCCTGGTTTTCAGACTTCGGGATGAGCTCTGTGTTATCAGAATGGGGATGAGACCTGGTTGTCAGACTTCAGAATTAAGCTTGGTTTTAGAATTCGGGATGAGCCCTGTGTTATCAGAGTCGGGATGATTTCAGTTAYCAGAGTTTGGAATGAGCCCTGGTTGTCAGACTTCCGGACGAATTTGGGATGATCCCTGCTTGTCAGCCTTTGGGATGAGCCCYGTGTTATCAGATTTTGGGATGAGYCCMGTGTTATCAGAGCTCCTCAGTCGCCGAGGATGACTCGTCCCTGCCCTGTTGCACAAGGAGAGGGGAGGAAACCTGCCCACACCGAGGATAAAACTCAGCCTTGTGCTCCTCCCARCCCTRRKCTGGAGCTGAGCTCTGCAGAGGGCRGATCAGCTCCGGCTCCTYGTGCCCAAATTTTTGGATACAAACCCATCCTGCTCTCCCTGGGTCTGTTCAATATTGAACCATCCAAACTCGGGGAGTGCCCTTTGATCGGAGCCTCAAGATCCAGGGAATAAGAAATGGAATTTTCAAATCTTTTCTGTTTTCTTTCTGTTGGGAGGGACTGAAATTTTGGGGTGGTTTTTGACAAGTTGGAGCAACACAAAGATCTGAAGCCTCTGGACTTGGTTTTCTGGAATTCTCTGGGAATTTGTTGGAGCTTTCAGAGTCCTTTTTTTTTTCCCTTGGTGAAGTAGGGAAAGTTATAGAAATATATAGAAAATATAGAAATATCAATAGTGGTTGATTTTAGAAATAGATGCATGTAAATGATAACACTATTTTATCATTTATAATACCATCCTAATTTTAGAATGGAACTTAACATGGCTCACAACAAAACCTTGTGTAATTTTCCCCACACAATGATCTTACAACACTTTACAGTGCRAAGGATCTCTGGCGTCGAACACAGAGTTCCGAGAATTTGGGTTTTTGGTGTTCCAGGGCAAAGTTTTCTGCATTTTTATTGAGCTGAAAAGCCCAAAATCCCCCCAGGTGAGTGAAAGCACAACAGTAAAAACCAAACAACGTGATTTTATGTCTCACTTTTAAATGGGCACAGATCCATGGGCGGTTTTTTTCCCCTCCTAACAATTATTTGGATGAGTCAAACCACCCCAGAGAAGAGTCCTGGAAGATTAAATATTTGGCAAACCCCGTGTCCCAACCAGTGCTGGAATCRTCCTCTCCCCATTCCTAATTTAGAGCCTGATCCTATCAAAAGATGCCAGAGGAGGTTATGGGGAGGGAGCCAAGGAATTTGGGGGAGTTGCCTCACGCACGAGGTTCTACGTGCTCGGGGTTACGCCATCCCCGGCGATCTCCGGGATGGGAGCCTGGAGTTGTTTCCAAATAAACAACCTTTCACTGCCGAGGTCACGCTGTAAACAAYAATCAGGCGGAAATCCCCCGGGAGATCCACAGAACTCATTAATAATTCTTGTAGGGCACACAGGGCGGGAGGAGCATCTCCAGCAAGAGCCAGATTGAGAACAGAATCCCAGGATTACAGAATTCCCAAATAGTTTGGGTTGGAAARGACCTCTCTGGAGGTCTCCCGGTTTCCACCTGGAGCAGGTTCAGGTGGGTTTGGGATGCCTCTGGAGGGTGAGACTCCACTCCTTCCTCAGGCAGCTCTGGAGAGAAATTCTTCCTTGAATTGTTGAGGTGGAATTTGGGRTTTGGTTTGTGTCCCTCACTCCTTGTCCTGCCACTGGTTGCCACTAGGAACAGTCTGACACCATCCCCTTGCCACCTGAACTTCTCTGGCTGTTGGAAATGCTGTATTTTAATTCTATTCATATAAATGTTGTGTTTAAATGTGAGTAAAATACGTAAAAAAAGGTTGGAAGGAAAACTTTGTGTTGTGGACATTCTTTGAGGATCCATTTGTGTTTTGAGTGAAGGAGMCAGAAATGAGAGAAATCATCCTGAGATTGAAACTACCCTCAGGCTGTGAGGTTTTATTTTACAACCCATCATCCTAAGGAGAAGGAGAAAAGAATCTTTTCCTGTCACCACAGCRCAAACCCCCAGTTTTCCAGCAGTTTTTGGGGGACTGTCATCAGCCCAGCCTCACRTGAGGAACGCGGAGCTCTGCGACCRTAWGGACGTGCAAAAATGCCCGTTGTGGCTCATCCAGGGACACTTTTGGGATTTGGGAACGGCCGCTGGGCCGAGTCACTTCTTCTGGACGGGGGGCCAGTGGGTGCTCTGTTTGCACTGCTGGGTTTTGGTGCTGGGGACAACCACGGGGCATTTCTGCTGCACCACCTGGGCGCAGCCCCCACCGGCAGGGCTGAGCTCCACTGCCGGGAATGTCCCAATTCCATATCCCAACCCTCCACCRTAGTACCCTGACCCTTCAGTCACCCCTCCTGTGGTCAGGGGTGTGGAGTATCCATACCCACCCCCTGCTCCTCCAGTGATCCCCAAATCCCCACCGTGGTACATGGATCCCCCACCTCCCCCGGTGCTGCTGATGACCGGACCCAAATCCTCGCTGCCGTACCCCATCCCCACGCCGGGGCCATAAACGGGGACGGTCCCCACCGTGGCGTCCCAGCCGGAGGTGACCCCAGAATCCCCGCTGGAGACCACGATGGACCCTTCGCCGTCACACGAGAAGCGCCCCGAGATGCTGTAGGGGGCCGGGGGTGGCGGGGGCCGCCAGGGCGGGGGTCTCCGGGTGTAGTGGACGGAACCGTCCCCGCTGCAGGAGAAGGAAGCGCGGCCGTGGCGGTTGGAGAAGGCGCCGCTGCAGAAACCGTGGTGGCTCAGGGACATCTCCCGGCTGTAGCCGCGGTGCCGCCGGGAGCATTTCCGCCGGAGCCAGTGGTAGATCTGGAAAAATAAAAAAAAAAGGGGAAGGAAAACACCCGAATTTGCCCCGTTTTGCTTTGTGTTCGCGCCGGGGCAGGTGGGGAGGTGTCGGGTGGGGTGGCCAGGAAAGCTTGGCCGGGGTCGGGGGCAATTCTAGGCTTTGAAACCGAGCACAGCTGAGACATTAGAGAATCAGGGAATCATGGAATAATTTGGGTTGGAAAAGATCTTAAAGCTCATCCCATTCCACCCCCTGCAGGGGGCAGGGACACCCTCCACAAGACCAGGTTGCTCCAAACCCCTGTTCCTGAAATCCAAGGGTATCTGCACTCTTCCTGGGATAGCTTTCCTCTTTCTACCTCTTTTTCCAGAGAACACAAAAATCTGAAATATATTCTGARTCCAAAATCTGAAAATATAAAACCTGAAATATATTCTTTCCCCATCTAATAATTGCCGTGGTTTTCCCCACTCATTTTCACGTCCGCAGCCGCAGAGCTGCGAAAACACCGAGGATAATCCATGTTTCTGTTTCTAAACTGCTGCAGGAGCGATGGATCAAAGTTTCCACCCTGGCTCTGTTATCGCAGCCCCAAAATTCTTTTGCAGAAGGTGATTGGCCCAGACACGGAGGTTTGTGGCCATTCTGAGGCTGGTTATTAATCAGTGTCAAAAAAACGCGTCCTGCACGTTCTAACCCACAAAATTTSTGCAGTCCCCACCCAGGTTTTCACCCTGCTCATCCTTCCCGCCGCATCCCAGTCTGGTGCCTTGATTTCCCTTTTTTTTCCCTGGGGATTGTATCAATCACGGAGCAGGAAACTATCCAGATCCCGAGGGCTTGGCTCGGGCAGAGGGGTCCTGCTGCCAGCTCGAGCCGAGGTCTCAAACGAGCTGCATCCCACTGCCAGGAAATCTTAAAATCCCAGGAAAAAAAAATAAAAATAAAAAAAAAAACAAAAAAAGCGGACTTACCCTCTTCAGCCATCGGAAACACATTTAGGAGATAAAAGCCGCCGGAATGAGGAGCTTTAACAGCCTCGGGAACATTTATACGGCGTTTAACGTGTATGGGAAGTGAGACACCCTCGGGAATGAGAAGGATTTATTTACCAAACTGGAATTTCGGTGTTTGCTTTGACTCCCGATCCATATCTCGCCTCACACCGCTCATTTCGCCCGCTCTAATTGTTACTTCTGCTTAATGAGCCYATTCCTGCCCTGGGCTACGCAGGAACCCTCCGGCCCCCAACCCCGGGAGAGGTGGGTGGGGGTGTGGGATTAGGAGAATGTGGGGCGGGATTGGGGAGTGCGGGGCACAGGGCATGGCGAGCGCTCGCCACGCTCCTGTGACAAAATCTGCACCTCCCGGGTAGCTCCGGGGGGAGTTTTTTTCCCCGAGGAAAACATTTGCATATAAACCAGAAGGTCGTCAGAAGTGATCGATGGCMGGATTGGGAATTTTGCAAGGGTGCCGGAGGTGCCCTAAGAGATTTTTAGGACGGAACTGCGGAGGTGTGAATGTCCTGGTGCTTTAAGCCAGCCCGGCTGGATTACGCTCTAATGAAGGATCGCGCCTCCAAATCCCTCCCTTCCTTTTTCAAATCCTTCTTCTGGTTTGGAAAGAGCCTCAGAGGTTGCGGGGACACTGGTGGGGGTTGCAGGTCCAAGCCCGGCCCTGCAGAGCAGCTCCCGGAGGCTGCAGTGGGTCCGGTCAGCTGTGGGAATTTTGCCGAGGGGACAGAACGCCCTGGCTTTGGCCAAAAATCCCGTCCCGGGGGGAAGAAATCCCAGCGTGGGGTGGTGGTGCCGCCAGGGCAGGGTGTAAAGCTGGGAAGGGAGGGATTTGAGGACTGGAGGAAGATCTGGAGCTGCCTGAGGGATTTGTTGCTGGTTTTATTCCTTCCTTACTGGCCCGGGGCTGGGTTGGCTGAGGAGCAGCTGAGGCT